TAAGATTAGGAGAGCAGTACTGGCCCGCGGAGGCTCCGGGATCTCCTGCTTTGGCGGAGGGGGGCAGAAAGCCCCCCCCCCCCTTTACCGCTTATACTGGGTCAATTCCGCAGGACTTAGGGGCCTTAGCTATGAGTCAGGATGTGCCACATTAATCTCACCGGAGTAGCGATTAACACACACAGACACTGTAATTCCCACTTCCGTCTTCCCAGCCTCTCTCCATACAGGGAGCAGAACTTTGGCACCGCGGATCCACAGCGGACGGCCTCCCCGCAGGCAGCTCGGAGCGGGTCCAAGCCGACCAGTCATCTCCCATCCTTCACTGGGGCTACTTTCTGTCGACTGGCTTCTGCGATCCTGTCGCCCAGCACTGACACACAACTCGGCGCTACAGCAAAAACGTCACACAGATTACAATGCAATGATCTCCACAGCCCACTTACAGACACTGCAATTGTTTCTGAATAAACATTTTGCTTTTCCGAGACATAATTGATGCAAGCGGGTTCCCCCAAAACACTTCTGTTACGCCCATTCGATCCTTCATAAATACGGTGAGGTTTTCAAAGGGGACTGATTCCACAGTAAATGACAAACTGCCCGTCACATCCGTGCTACTCGACACGGGGCCGGCCGAAAAGGCCCGCCTCCTTATGCCTCGAGCCCCCTGCTGTGCGGCACTTGCCGGTGGCCTTCGGGGGGAAAGAAAGCTTGGTCCAGGGCACTCGCAGCAGAGGCTGCTTCTCATGGCCGCAAACAAAGAGGCAGCGGCCACTCGCACCGCGGTAAATGTCAGCGTCTGGCGGGAGCCGGCCGCTATCCCGCGGACCGCCCGTTAGCCTCTGTCAGGAGCGGCTTTTTAAAGAGCAGACCCTCAGCTTTTCATCCTGGCTGGGTAGCGTCAGCACCGAGAAATAATGATGCTGAGTGACGCGCACTGTCAGCTGAGCGCCTTAAGGGGGCGCCAGAGAGCACAGCCGGCAGACACCTGGGGGACCATCCTGACGGTTTCCCCTCACCTAAAGCAGACCACAAGGACGTGCGACTAATGGGCTGCACTCTCAGCAGTTAAAAGCAAGACATGCTGTCAGGCTGACTCTCTTTGGGCCATTTTAAGGCACAAAAATTCATTGTAACACTGACTACATTTAAAAGACAATTATTCATTTTTACTAATATCTCCAATGTCATTATTACCGCTCCGGCTCGTGTTATGATGTTATATTAATATTCCTATTATAATATTTCAGCTACGCTCCCATCCAGCTGAGCTCCACATTCTTTTCCCCCACGGACACCGATCCAAGGGGGGGGGCTATGTCGCTAACAGTATTTCAACACCAGCTAAAGGCTTGGGGGCCAAATCTGCCACACACTGTACAGAGCGAGCGGGTAGCAGCAGGGTAGCGGGAACCACATGCAGTCTTGGTACCGGCTCCCCTGCAGGATTAAGTTCCGAGGACGAGGACGTTTAATTATTTACATGTTACATGACCTCCCCCCCCCCCTGGGAGCAGCGGGAACTGTGTCCACGTGCATGTTCTTCTAATCCCTCTGTGTTTTTCGCCCCCGCCGACCGCGATCGACAGCGTCTGAGGCTGCCACGTGGTGCTGCGGTTTGGCCCGGCCCAGCTCTCCCACAAGTCCGCCCCCCCGCCTCCGCTCCATTTGTCCCTGACAGGCCTTGATTTGAGTTCCACATCAACCCTCCCGCCCCTTCGCCGACAAGCCCAGAAGGATAAAGCAAATCCAAACACATGTCCACAACAGAGGCGACTGTCAAAAAAATATATATAAATAAAATCAGGTAAGATTACGGATGGGCGTTTGATGTTTTCTAATCTCCGGGAGCCAAAAATAAAACGATGGGGCCCAGCTGTGCTGCCGGGTGACAGGTCCTGTCCCACAAATAAGGGTGACTTATGCTTGCAGAAATCAATACATGGAGCTCAGCTCTGACGAGGCAACTTGCCGTAACCGCAGGTCAGCGGAGGAAATCCTGCTCGCCATTAATAATAAACCCATACATCAGGCCATAGTCGATTCACCTGTTACTAACGTCGGCTTAAATAACCTCGGCCCCCCCCAGGAGGTCGCCCCCGCTGCCCCCCAGATGCCTGCTCACGCGGGTTCAGCCCCACCCCCCCCAGCCTGTATGTTTACATTCCCCTCACAGCTTTTCCGGAAGCTCGGACTTGCGATGACGCCGCTGCTCGGGATGCAGGGCAGGCGCCTCTGCAGTTCCGGCCATAAAAATTTCATCAAAGAGTCTAGATCTAGATGAAGATCTTGCCAACCCTCCTCCCCACATTTTGCTATGCATTGTTTTCATTCCGCGCCCCCCCCCCCCCCCCCCCCCCCCCCCCCCCCCCCCCCCCCCCCCCCCCCCCCCGAGTGATTTCGTAAACGGCGGATAAGGCGTCCCCCACAGCTGACTGGCCGTCCTGGGAGTTACATTACTGCGCATCCACAGCGATGGTGGAGGCTTTGCACCAATACCCGTGCACGCATGCACACACACACAGAGCCCTTTCACACCAGGGCCGGTGCTCGTACGGAGCCTAAATTCCGGCCCGGGCGTTGCATTCACACCAAAAATAACAGCGGTGCGGGCCGATACATGCTAAATAAAGCTAAAAATAAAAATGTAAGCATTTGCAGTAAATTCAAAAAAAGTCTTGTGTTCATCGCATCTCGCACGGCCCTCCATTTTTGTCTTCACTTCCGAAACGGTGCCCCTCCCACAGCAACGTGTACATACTGACGTCGTCGTTCATCCCTTTCGGCACCAAGTGCAGTGTGAATGCGAGACGGTTTTCTGTGGGGTCCATGTGAACTCCGGCACCGGCCTGGGCTTCATGTGAAAGAGCCAACGCGCGCACACACCCAAGGTCGGAGAGATTAACAGGGAAACAAATCGCTCTTCCCTCATAACAAAGATCCTGCTCTTCATCGGTATTTCTGCTAAATAGCCCCTGATTAGGTGTTAATTCTTAAACAAAGACAGTTATTTACTTTGCCACATAGCATCGTTACAAAATCCTCAGGGGTAAATGTTTAACTCGCCATAACGCCCCCAACCTGGGCAGCGTGCAGCCAGCCCCGACAGCCCATAATCCGCTTCACGGTTGTCACGACGCCAAGGGGCCTTATGACCCTCTCATTGATTTCACTCTCTTTTGACCCTTCCTGATTGCTCTTCACACCTCCCAAACCAATTGTTCCTGAAATAATGACATTCATTCCCCTGGCATCTCAGTCCTGTGTTTACCTATGAAGGATCTCAGTGTCTATTACCGAAACTGCTTTAAAAAGGAATGCTTTGAAACATTTTTTTGTAGGACTCTGTCATATAATTCATTATCACCACCCAAACTCACTTAAGCCAAAATTTTTGCCATCCATCTTTAATAGTTCAACATAACTTCTAAGGAGCAAGAGATTAGTTATCCATGACCTTTGTGTTATCAGCCATACAAAAGGGAAAACTGCAGGTTGTGTGAACCATTCCCTTCCGTGACATATGGCCATGTTTGCCATTGTTGGCGGGAATGCTTGATTTTTTTGCTTAGTCAGAGCACTTCCACGGTCAAGGTGACAGGCAGTAGCTATCGGAGCGCTAATGATCATCAGCAGCAGAAGCGGCTCTCAGCCTTCATCACCAGACCGGTGAATAGCAGCTGCAGAAGAGACTGAATGACTCTCATTTCTTCTCCCCCTGTGGCCATCGAGTCGCCCCAACCCCCATGTCCGGTCATCTACACAGCGGCCCAACAAGTGCTGTAAGCCCTGGATCAGCTCAGCCACGCTTATGACACATGCCGTTTCAAGGGTAATTACTGCTTCTTCAAATTGCAAACTAACGCTGGAAGGCATTCTAACTTTTAATCCGGAAACATGATACTATATCAGCGATTATAACCCATAATGACCAGGCTCATCCTGCAGTCTACTAGAGCAAGCCAGTGCCTGAAACATTAACGGACGTTTTTCCACTTTGTCGGGGACAGGCGTTCAGATAATAACAAAAAGCGAATGTTTCTGTTTCCGAGTGACATCCGGCTCTGTGACGGTGACACAGCTGGGAAGCCTAGTGGCTTCTCTCAGATCCCAATGCTGGCAGTTGCAATTGTTCATCCGCCGCGAGTTTCTCAAAAATGCTTCTGATAATTATCATGCTCTTCTCGGGATTGTTCGGCACTCACGGCACCCCCTCATCGACGGGTGATTCCGATAAGGGGAGGGCCTTTAACAGCACGCCACACAAAGCGTCTGAAATGTCACCCAACACTAGTGTATTTCAGCATTTACAGCAACAACCTATTCACCACAGACACAGGTTACCATGAGAGGTGCAGACTGGGAACAATTAGTCCCTAAAAACAAAACAGGCTTGGACTTGTGTCGGCATTATGAATGCCACATTCCCCCCCCCAACACAGCATCACAATAAGGCTGGGCGTAATACTAACCTTACTCAAAGCTGGCCAGCCCTTTAAGGAAAGGCCTTCTTTAGTCACTCTGGCTTAGAGAGAGCCTGGCGACACACACACACACACACACACACACACACACACACACACACACACACACACCTATCATTCGTTTCTATGTGCATAACCCTAACCCTAACTCTGATAACTCTAACCCCTACCCAGCCCTATGCTTAACTATAAGTAAACAAACAGAACACAAGACTTTTGGCTATTGTCGTTTTTCGAGTGCGTTCATAGATATTTGCCTGAGAATTGTCCCCACAAGCTAAAAAGTAACAGGTTTCACCACAATGTGGTAAATACAAATCCACACAGAAACACCATCTTATTTTTTGGGTTCAAATCCAAGCCGCCACCCCCCCCCCCCCACCAACCACAGTGACTCACATCAGAATGTAAGAACCTTCTTGTCAAACCCCACAGTGTCCCATGCGCCCAAGCCCGTCAGCGGCAGCTGTGTATTCCGAAGCCAGGAGAGTCTTTCATCTCGGCTTTCCCTACCTCTTTCCCAGACAGGTAGTATGCAGACAGCAGCCCGCCGACAAAGCGGATGTTGACCTCGAAGACGGAGACCTCACCATTCTGTGGAGAGAACGGAGGACAGGGCAAAGCTGCAGTTAACCAAAACGTAGAGGTGAGGGGCACATGTATGCAAGATATGTCATCTCCCAATACCTGGGACTGTCACACAATTTATACAGAGAGCATTATGCATGTAGACCTACATATTAGTGTGTCTATAGATTACTGCTATAGGTCAAAGTATCCTTTGCCCTTTCATCTCAGCATCTTTTAGCTCTGTTTACCAAACCCTGGAACATGGAAATCTAACTCCGAATAGAATAAAAGAGAAAAGAAACCCAAAGGGGAAGCTGAAAGAGACCAAAGTGTTTGGATGGAGAAGCAGGACCCAAGGTGGGCGCTGTGGTGCTGAGCAGGTTAGGCTCCTGTGCCTGCAACCAGAAGGTTGCTGGGTCAAGCCTCAACTTTGGAAGAATAGTCACACTGCTGGGCCCCTGAGCAAAAACCTTAACCCCCCCCAAAAATGCTCCAGTAAATGGCTGACCCTGTGCTTCGACCCAAAGCTTCACTCAACTGTATATATGCGTGTCTCAAAGGAGAGCATGATGGGATATGTGAAAAGAAGCATTCCAGTGTACCCGCACTCATACAACTGGCAGGACATGTACAGAATCCAAGCAGATTCACCAGTACTATGCCATTATTATCCCGACCCATAAAAAAAAAATAGTTTCCCTATGATCTTTCGCTCATACAGAAGCCCCTGATTGCCATAACCTAAGCAGCAGATCAGCAGTGAGCACCGCTGGATGACCTGGGTATAGCTAGAGACACCCTTACCGCCGGCTAATAATGCGTAGGAGCGGAGAACAAAAGCCGTGGATGGAGAATTCAACGACACAAAGACACGTTTTCATTTTCTGCACTCAGAGAAACTTAAGCATGAAACAGCTAAAGCCTTCTAACCCCCTCCCACATTACGTTATGATTTTCACAGCCCATCGTCGGCTGGGGGCACGGCAATACTGGTAATATTGGGTTGGGGTTTGAGGTGGTAATGAAAACTTATTTGTCAAACACTACCTTCCAGTAAAAGAACATGAAAAGGTACACCATTGTGTTTCCCTAGCAACAAATACAAGTTTCCAAACTGCATCTTGTTCATCTTAATAACAGCTTGGCATGCATAATACACCAACGGAATTGAGTTAGGTCTACAGAAAGAGTGGAAAGAGGTGGGGCTGCGGCATTAAATAGGAATGGCCTCCGACTGAGTACACAGCACATGTCCACATGGTGACATTTATATGACAAGAAAGGAAGAGAAAAAAAAAATCTGGCTTCACAAAATCACAGGATTTATTCGGGCAAACCCAAAACGTCTCCCTCGCTTTGTTATCCTTTAAACGGAAACCATTCTGCTTAGAATAAATTCTCCTCACCCACCCAGTTCTATTCATTCAAAAATAATAACTGTCAAAATTAATCACCACAGCTTACCAAAGATGAGAATATGTAAATGATGCAATTAGACAATTAGCATAATAAAACAGTGGGGCACAGTTAAAATTACTTTTACATTTGTTACCAACTGGTATTTAAGTTCATAATAAAAGTTATTGCCCATTAACCTTATCAGCCAAGCCTTGGAGACGGCGTAGGCAAGCAGTCTACTTAAAATAGTAATTTTCTTTCAAAATATGCTTTCTGATTTTTCTGGAACACTCTGCTCCTGGAACAGGTCTTGTGGGGATGCGGTCAAAGGATGGCAATGTACCGCTCCTTTCCAGGAGGTCACAAAAAAGGTACCAGCATATTATAACCGGGATCTCCACAAACACACACGGGGTCCTGCATGACTGGGCAACATGAGTCACACCACACCTCTGGGATCACGACTGCAGTGGCGCAGAAATTAATTACAGACCTTTAAGCTGGTTACTAGGTTGGCTCAGTTTTAAAAGGACAGATTCACTGCTGCTTCCCAGACTACTGGACCAAGATGTTCAAGCACATGAGCTCAGGTCTGACGCGAGGTACAGACATTTCCCAGTTACCCCGAAGCTGTCCTGTATTCGAAGCCTTTCCTCCAGAATTTGGGAGGTATGCTATTACCTAGCTCGCATGGAGAACATCCATCACAAACATGGGTGAAGACAGCATCATCGTAGCAGACAGCAGACACTTCGATGACGACTGTGCTTCTGGGCTTTGGTTTCCCCAAAGGAGCTTCTGTCAGCAGGAGTATCTACAGTTTGATGCCGTTTCAGAGACACCTTCTTGAACGTGTCGGGGATCGTCTGCCAACCTAACAGGATGGGTAACCGGCTGTTGGGGGAGGAGTTTTCCTTGATTGGCATGACAGGCAACTGAGCAGAGAGCTTAGCTCGTGTTCATCCCATAATATCCAGGCTCAGAAGTCAGCTCCCCCCACTGGTCAGCCCCTGAAGAAAGGGGGCATTGGAGAGTTTAAGGTGGTACATTTTCAGGCATGATCTAACCACCCAAGCCAACAGTCCTTGGGGAATTCCAGGGAACAGTCGAAAAGCTCCACTGAACATACCAAGATGTTACTCTAACATCTTTCTATTAGAACCTCCTGACAGAGATGTGTGGCCCCATTCCAGGAGTAACAACAAGCACACAGAGCCCCAGAACATTTAAGCCACCTGATCAGTGACGGATGGGTCATATTTTCGGTGGGTTCCTGCAGAAATCTTACGTGCCCGCTGGGCTACATCTTGGCAAAAAGGTAAAACAAATGAATAATTTAAAACAAGAAATTTTAAACAGGAAACGGATAAACAAAAACAGAATTTACATAAGATTCTTTAAATTAATGTTTGATAAAAATTCCAAAACTTTATGGAGTGGTTCCAGTAGTGCTAGTAATGAAGGATGATGGATTCCTACTTCTAGAGGGGAGGAACACCCTTGTGAGTGTCTGCGTTTTGTATCGCAGCAGCCCTGCCTGAAACAGCCAAGTTGGAAAGACCTGACCCTCTGTGCTCTGCATCCTTAATGCGTTCTGCGGGAGACAGACGTCAGCACGCCAGCCCGGGTCGGACCCCAGCGAACGGCCCTTATCTCCATCAGTACGCATCTGCCTGACAGGTCCTCTCCAGAAGCATCGCTCTTTGCTGAGCTTAGTTAAGGGTCAAAGCAAACATGAAGAAGGTTCTGGTTCATCTTTCACCTCCTGTCAGTCTCAGCAGGAGAGGGGGAGAAATGTTCAGGGAAAACCCCTGGCTTCAACAGTCAGCTAATTACCAGGTTAATGTTGGCTGGACATCTTTGAAGGCTACCCCCCACCCACCGGGTTCCCCCTGCAGAATAAATCCACTGGCCTCACTAACGACCGAGACAAAAACAGGGCCACCCCAGTGAGGTTCCCAGGGGCGAGTGAAACACAGGTTAATTGGTAAAGCACTCCCACCGGCAATTCCCCCCGATCAATGGGCCGTCCCATTTAAAGTCACGCCAACATCCATCTGGGCCGCGTTAGCTCTTCGACAGCCATCCCAGCAAAGAGATCTCAGTCAGCTTTAGGGCTGGTAATTGGCATACCGTTACTGACGCGGTGGTAATTAATACCTTCTCTCCGTATTCCCAGAATGCACCTCCAATCCAGGCAGAAAGTGCAGCATCTTAGATAAGAGCCTGTCATTTCCAGGCCTTGCAAAGCCTCAACTGGGGCATAGAGGTCAAAGGAGGGGAAAACAGAGGTTGTCTCTTTCATGTTAACACAGCTCTGAGAGGGAAAAGAGGAAGGTTACATTTACTTTCAGATTAAAAGACTCCGTATTAAGAAGACCGACTGAATTTTAATGCAGGGCTCATGTGGGCTTTTTCGTGCTCCTTTCTTGTCGAAATTGCTGGAGGGCAGTGAGGGAAAGCCTTTCAATTAAAAGTCTGTTAATTCTGTTCATTAAAGCATCTGATCATTAATATTTCCCTCCCCTCATAGAGGAGTGTGAGGGCGGACGAGAACTTAACGCTTCTTAACGAGAGTGCTCTACTGAGAATTCATAATGAGGGACCCCGCACAATTGCAGGCAGAGTAAAGAAAAAAAAAAAATGAAGATGAAAGGATGTCGTGTGTCTCCTTTTGGCTCGCTGGCTACCATCATGAAGTATGAAGCCATTTCCAGTCCTTTGTGGAAATTCTGTGCTGTTCTGAAAGCCTTCACCATGGCAAATTGCACGTGTCAGACATGGCGCTCTGGCAAAAATCCCTTGCACGGTGACGCAACAATTCTTAGATTTTTCCTCCCCTTTTTGTGCATTCCGAGCTTCCATCGGGGTGGGGGGGGGGCACCTCTGAGCTCCCGCCTTCTAACTGCAGGGCAGGGCGGCATTGATACAATGGGCGCGGGCTTGCGTGTGGAAGAGCGCGAGTGCGGCCCACCGGATCTTCCATCGACGGATGAAGGAAATGAACGACGGAGTGAAATCAAAGGAATAAAATGAGAAAAGAAGCCCTCAGATGGAATGAGGCAATAAATATATAAATAAGATCTGAGAAAGTGAGGGTGGCTGAGGAAAACACAGCGGAGAGGACCAACAAGGAGTCCATATTGCAAGGAGTTCATTTTGGGGGTCGGGGGGGGGGGGGGGGGGGGAGCCCCTACACTGCTCTTAAACATGAAGTCTGACCGCAAACCACAGTCCGAGGCACGAGTGACTGTGACACAGAGTCCTGGCTGGCAGAGCGGGCTGTAATCAGATAACGCAAAGGCATCTTCTCAGGAAGACGCACAGCCTTGATCGGACAGGGTGAGAGCCTCAGGGGGAGGTGGCTCTACAAAAGCTCCATCTGATACCTGATACTGGGCGGAGGGGGTTTGGGCCGTCTCGGCCAATCAGAGGGCCCGCTGCGCTCTGTCGTACGGGTGCCAGCATCTCCCAAATTCCCCAGTGACCTCCCGGATGGAGCCAAGGACACCACGGGCTGGTGACGCCCCGCCCGGTCTATTCAAGCCAAAAGATTTGCCATGGAAGACTGCCCGTCTGATTAGTCAGCAAAAAGGAGGGAAAAAGAACTTCAATTGCCAAAGTCACCCAGGATGGCAGAAGCAGCCCACAGTAATAAGCCTCGGACATGGAGGCTCCAACACCTGCCAAAGGGGACTATGCTCTCACCACATTGAAGTCCAGGTTCTTCTCAACCCACTCTGTAGCTTCCTCAAACTCTCGGTACATCTCCAAGATGTACAGCGTGTCGAGGGCATCCACGATGGTCGCTCCCTGGATGTTTCCTGAAAAGGAAGGGGCGAGAGGGAATGGAAACGATACTGTGAGTGATCTGTGAGGTGGTGGAGGGAACAACACCAACAACAACCAACCAACCAACCACACCAACAACCACAACAAATCAACTACAACAAACAACTAGCGAGGCACTTCTACTCAACAGCATCCGTGAAGGAAAGAAACTGGGAGAGGAAAAAAAAAATGTACACAAGTCAAGCATATGGCATCTGGGCAGGCTGCCGTCACTTCAGATAAAGGCACTTGGCAATCAGATGCAGACTGTTCAGAGTCCTCTAATGTTAGTCCTGACATTTGTCAAACAGGAAGCCCCAAGACTAGCTTCTGCTAACGAAGTACCAGCTCCTTCCCACCAGCAGGGGGCACAGAGACGGCCTGGTGCGTGACCGCCGCATATCGACACGATCGTTCCAGATCACATTACGTCCATCCTGAGGCAAACAATAGACGTGAGCTCCTCCGGTCCAGTAACGAAAGACACTCCTTTTTAATTAGGCTAAAAGCTTTCAAATAAATTAAACTGAAGGGGGGGGGGGGTGAAGAATGAATGTAAACAGTGGAAAGGGCAGTCGCCATCTGTACACGCTGGGCTTTTTGCGGCAGTTTTACTGGAATGAATGGCGTCGGCTGAGCTTGTACATCATCCTGATACGGTAAAGTTATATGCTTCCGATTTTGGAATGGATTATTCATCCCTCAGGAGGAGAAATAAAAGAGCGCACAGGCATAACGGATGGGGACACCTTCCTCTTAATATTCATGAAGACTCTTATAATCTCGTTACAGCTTGCTACGACAGCGTGCTCACAAGCAGTGGCCCAGTTCCGAGAATTAAAGTCTAGGGTATCCGTGCCATTGCCTAGTTTCCATCACACTACTGAACACACCCAGCTCCGACTCTATTAATCTATAAATTCTCTCTCACACACACACACACACACACACACATATATATATATATATATATAAAAATAAAGAAACACTGGTAGATGTACTGAATTGATGGTGGAACCTTGAGCTGTCGTCTTGGTGACACTTTGTTTGTCACGGAGCCCCGACCCGAGCTGCAAATCCCTATCGCCTCTGGCTGGTTAATTAAGTTGTCCTGGGACCCGTTACTCAAAGGCGAGAATGAGCCCCACCGACAGGCAGCCCCGGAGGTGTGTGTGAAACAGGAGCACCTTACTGGGCAGATGGTGCTGATAGACCATGAGGACTCTTCTCATCCGGCACGACTGCAGCCAACAGGAGGACCCTACTGCTGTTCATACGGTAATTATGACACTCTTAGGCGACTGCCAGACACTCAGCAAAGAGCCGGGTCTTGCCAACTGTACATTTATAGGCCTGCAGTTTATCCTTAATATCATATGTTCAAACGAGGCTTACAAAACCCCAAAGAGGCCAAGGGACCCCGTCAAAATGCTGAAGAGCTTTTAACGGTAATGATACCTAAAATAAAGCCGGTATGAAAGGCATGACCTCTCCCCCCTGCTTCCTCCGTTTTAGCTTTAAAGGAAGTTCTGATCATAAGGTTGGCACAACACTGCATTTTTTTTGCATCCTCTTCCAGGAAATGAGCAAATATGTGGTATGAAACACAATAAGAGGGCAAAGTCTAAGAAGAACAACTATCAGAGCCTACAGATCAAAAAACATCTTCAGGCTGCCGCTTATTGGGCAGGAATAACTGTCAGTCTGACCTTGGTTTTGCTCCCATTTATTTTTTATTTTACCGGTTATTGTTCTTGGATCAATAGACCAGGACAACAGGATGGGGCCATGAGGCACCTGCTCTGCAATAGCAAGGATGAGAAAGCAGGATGAGGCGCGGTGGGAAGGAACTGGACTAATTTAACGTTATACAGTCAGACCGCAAACCCAGGCAAGCTCAGCTCAAGGAGTGCATGAGTGTTATGGGTCCTGATGTCCAAAATGTGTGTTTATACCATTTCTGACTTTAAATATTCAAGCAATAAAACAGGTGCGGCTACTCATGAATACGAAAGTGAGATCCAGCCGATTTCAATCCCACAAAGGCATGATTACCACCCTTTGGCTTTCAGCCTCCGAGTTACCAAAGCCCAAAATTTCTATTCAGAATATATTTTCACAACATTTCCTGCAATTGACGTTTCAGTGATTTCCCTTATTGTGCTGGGAAGAGAGAAACCAGGGGAAACTAATGTGCATATATTAAGATTTCAGAAATGGCATACAGAGATACACAGGAGCTTACGCTCGCGGTTTGTCTCAGTGAGGCTGGTGGCAGTGTGTTCTCTGCCCTGCCTTAGGTGACACCCAAGGGCCACAGACCGAGCCCCCAGGCTCGGGGCCACAGGCCCCCAGGCTTTCTGCAGGAACTGCACTGGCAGCACCTCAGGGCAAACGCTCCTCTACCTGCATCAATGAGAAGATATATAGATGTTTACTTGCTCCTCACAGACTAGCAAAGAGGCTCGATGGCTCCTATAGGGAGGCAGCATTCCAGAGTCAAAACACAATGACCTCTGGCAGCTTCTGCTTTGTCAAGTGGTCATGGTGATCCAGATAGCAAAGAGCCGAAGAGCCTCACAGGCAAAGGCACTGCAGAAGAAAAGCAGGGAACCCAGCGGCAATCTGCACAAACAGAGCAACCGTACCTGCTGACCTCCTGTTACCCACACACACACCCACACGTTTGTATTTATATCTTTGTGGGGACCATCCATTCATTTCTATGGGGAATAACCTCAATCCCAGCAACGACAACCCTAACCCCTACCCAGCCCTAACCTTAAGTACCATAAGTAACCAAAATACAAGTCTTTTTGAGGCACTTTTTCATTTTTTTGATTGCATTCACAGATTTTTGCGAAAGTTGAGGTTATCCCTGTGGGAAGCGAAAAAAAAATGGTCAAAACCCCTTATTTTGATATCACAGAGACATTTGGGGCAGCGTGTGGCTCAGTGGGCTAAGCCTGTGTACCTGTAATCACAAGGTTGCCGGTTCAAACCCAACCTCAGCACGTGAGTGGGTCCCTGGGCGCCCCAACAGGAGGCTGCCCTTCGCAGACAGCTTACTCTGCAAAGAGCAAGTTGAGGGAGGCATAAAAAATAAAAAAATAAAAAATTTCCCTCGGGTATCAATAAAGTATCGATTAAAAAAAAAATTTAATACATTGTAATACATTGAATGTATACATTGCAATGTTATACATTCACACCTGTGGACAATCTGGTACCTGCAATGTTTTTGGACTGTGGGGGAAAACCAAATGAAAGCTCACAATGACATCCGGAGAACATGCAAACCCCCCCCCCCACCCCACCCCATGGCACATCTTTACACTGGAGACTCGAACCCAGAGGTGTGAGGCAGCACTGCTAATGACTGCGCCATCTTGCCAACTCTAGGTTTCATATTATAAGTATTATGCAGCACATTACTCTGCTTATTTTTGTGTGTATGTGGGGGCAGTAATCAATACACTTGTGCCTGTTTTAGGAGAACAGATCCGAGATGACATTTTGAAATGTTTCAGTTAGACATGGAATACAGGTGTCTCCAGGGCGAGGACCCTGACGTAGTAATAATAATAGTAATAATAGTAATAATAGTAATAATAATAATAGTAATAATAATAATAATAATAATAATAATAATAATAATAATAATGATTCTTTAGTGATCCCCATGGGGAAATTGTCTTTACGCCTCCCTCAACTTGCTCTATTTTGCTCTAAGTTGTCCACGAAGGGCAGCCACACATAGCAGGGAGCTGGGGGGTTAAGGGCCTTGCTTAAGGACCTGCAGACGTGCTGAGGCTGGGTTTGAACCGGCGACCTTCTGATTACAGGTACACAGGCTTAGCCCACTGAGCCACACGCTGCCCCCGGAATCCACTGAAGCACTGTGCTGAAATTCGGGGGAGAGTATTTAGGTTCTTTGCTAATATTTATGTGTAGTTATAGGGTGTTCAGATCACTCCTGCTCCAGTACTGCCCACACTTGTACCTGGGCACTTATCGGAAGCTCAGCCTAGCTGCACTTATGCCTAGTTGACATCGCTCATACGTCGCTTTGAACAGAAGTATCTGCCAAGCATGTAAATGGGCTCCACGTGTCAGGTACTGTGCACGACCCCAGACGAGGTCCTCGCTTGCAGCCAATGGCTCTCCTGAGTGACCGCTAGAGCAGAAACGTGTTGCGTGAGCCATTAGACAGCCATTCAGGCTGAAAGGTGTCCCCTAACCTCCTAACCGCAGGAAGAGCGATGAGGGATTGTTTCTTTATGACCGGAACGTTGTCCTTGTTTACCCCCAAATCCACAGTTCCTCATGGCAGCCGGTAAGCAAAACTGGTCCCCTCCCGATCCCACGAGGGGCTCATTTGCATGTCGCAGGACAACAGGCCCAAAGTTGTATCCATCAGCAAGAGCAGTGTGAAGCGCGCTGTGCTAAATCAGAGCCCTCGCTACCACGAGCATGACGGGACAGGGCGCTGCCATGGATCCAGTCCAGAACCATGTGGTTATTGGCAACTCTACTTCACTGCGCCACGGGTGAAGGATTTGGGGAGAGAGCAAGATGAGAGGTGGAACACGGAAGGATTATTTAGAGGCAGTGCTGTTGACATTGGGGTGGGGGGGGGAGGGTGAAGGAAGGGCACTAAGGGTCCATCAATCAGCAGCCACAAGCTGGCGAGGAGCTAGGCATTAATGAAAAGGACAGTGGCCTCGCTGGCGCCCCCCTTCCCTGCATCACCGTACTGCATCGCCCACTCAGCTAATTGAATTTTATATGGTGCAGCAGATTTTCGCAAGTGTGCCATCAAATCAAGGGAATCAAATTAAAACATCAGCCTGATTTCCAGAAAGCTCTCCTCCACTAGTAGACACAAACACGGCACATGCACCGGCCGGGGGGGGGCACTGCCCCCCCCCCCCCCCCGGGGATCCTGACCAAGATATGAGGCTAGAAGCCAGATAGATGGAAGGCCAGTGAA